ACTTAAATGGATTTGGTTTTGGTGGGATGGCTAAAGAGCATCATTAATGGATCATTGTCTCTACTAAAGTGCCATAAAACTACATTTTTTACTCTATTCTGTTCAAAATTTTCATCAGTGATTTAGATGAATGCATATAATAAGCTTTATCAGATTTACAGATGGTACAAAACTAGGAAGGTTAGCTTATGTGTTGGAAGGCAGAATCAGGACCCCAGAAGTTTTCAAAAGACTTGAGCAATGGACTGAGTATAATACAATAAAGCTGAATAGGGACATGTGTAAAATATTATAGTTTGGTTCAAAAAGTTACCAAAGTAGAGAACAGGGAGACTTAGCAAAGGAATGATAAATTTGAAAAAGACCTAGAATATTTTGTGGACTAAAAGTTAAATTTGTGTCAGCATTGTGATATAGAGTCCAAATAAGCACAGTGTGCAGAATGAGTAGGGTGGTATAGTAGGAAGACCACTGTATTTGTAGTAAAAGGACCTAGATTTGAATCCCAGTCCTGTGTGACTTCGGCATATCTCTTAACCTTTCTATGCTTATTTCCTGAGGAAAATAAGGTTAGACTATCTTGTTGTTATTCAGTTGTTTTCAGTTGTGTCTGACTCTCCATGACCCCATTTGGGGTTTTCTTGGCAAAGATACTGAAGTAGTTTGCCATTTCCTCCTTCAGTTCATTTTATACATGAGAAAACTGAGACAAACAGGGTTAAGTGACTTCCTAGGGTCATAGATGTAGTCAGTGTCTGAGGCTGGATTTGAACTCAGGAAATGAGTCTTCCTGACTAGGTCTAGCACTCTATCCACTGTGCCAGCTAGCTATCCTAGACTATATTAGTGTTTCTTAATAATTTTTGGTGTTTGAAGCCTATAGACATTCTTCTCAGAATAATGTTTTTAAATGCATAAAATAAAATTTATAGGGTTATAAAGGAAACCTTGAAATTCAGTTATCAAATTAAAAAAAAAAACCAACAACCAAATTCACAAACCTCAAGTTAAGAACTCATGGTCTAGCTGATCCCTAAGTGATCTTATATATCTGTCTCCTGAAATCTTTGTCCTACTATACTTGGTCAGACCATTTTTGGAGTATGCAATTTAGTCATGGGCATCATATTTTTAGGAAAGTCATCATGGCCTTGCAGCCTCTGACTTTCAGGAAACCATGATTTCTGACACAGACATGCCTAAAAAAATAGGGATAGGCCCAATAGATTTTATCAAGAGCACGTTCCTTTTTAGTGTTTTTTGTGCCCAAGACCTTGGACAGCTTAGATTAAATCCAGATAGAAAAGATTTTCCCACAGACATATACAGCACAGGGAAGCAAATATGAATACAAAGGGACAGCCACCCAAGAAATCAAACCTCCAAAAGTTTTGCCTTGCCACCATAACACTTCACCTGGTTCTATTGCTATCCTTCCTTCCAATACATAATCTGACTGTGCAGTATACTTGGTGGGCAGGTATGCATATATTAACGCTGAATGATGTGATTGAAGGTGGAAAAGTTGGAGAAGGGTAGGAGCAACAGTATAGCTTCAACCTTAAAGTGATGGAACCTGACTTCCTCTCCCCTTATATCTTATGATGAATGTGAGACATCTTATATTAGTGGTTGAAGATTGTGTTGATGTCAAACCCAAGAAGGTAGTGATGATGAAGCTCAGTGTCAGTTTCAGTTTCAACCTAAAGCTATCTATTTGAGCTTACTCTACTATCTGAGCTTACATATTGGAGAAGGGGTGTTTAATAGCATTGACAAGTATGCTAAGTGTATCATGGTGAAGGGACTCAACCATGCTGCATCAGGATTTATTGAAGAAACTAGGCATGTTTAAATCAGAGGGGAAAAAAAGATTTAGATGGAGGACAATAGTATTTTGAAGTGTTCTTATGGGTAAGAGGGATTAATTAGGTGCGTGCTACTTGGTCCCCAAACAAGGAGCAGTGGGTAAAAGTTGTAGACAGATAGGTTTTTACTTTTGTGTGATGAATAATTCTCTGCTGTTAGAGCTGTACAGAAATGTTATGGGCTGCTTCAGGGGGCAATTCCCAATTGATGGAGATCTTTAAATGGAGCTTGCCTGACCTTGTGTTTTTGTAGGTAGGGGGGTTCAGTTATGGATAAGATGGGCTAGATACCCTCTGAGGTCATGATTCTAAATTTCTATGACACTCTCAATTCAACTGGTTATTTATGATAGTCAGTGTAAGCTAGCACCAGCTAGATGCTGCAGTGAATAGAACACCAGGCCTGACCTTGTAAACCCCTGCACAGTGAAGTGCAGAATCAAATATAGTCTTTTATCTGGTGTTATCCCTTTCTGCCTTTCCAGTCTTCTTGCTCCTTATTCATTTCCATGTACTCTGTGATATAGTGACACTGGCCAGCTTGCAGTTCTTCAAATATAACACTCCATCTCCCATCTTTGTGCCTTTGTGTTAGCTATCCTTCATGAAATTGCCATCTGATCATCTCCATCTCTTAGAGTGGGCATCCTGTAAGATTCAGCTTTAATCCTACCTTCTGCAAAAGTCCTTTCCCATTTCCCCCAGCTGATGGTGTCTTCCTCTTTCAGATTACCTTAATCTGCTTTGTATACATCTTATTTATACCTAGTTATTTACAGATTGTCTCCCTCATTATAATGTGTGCCTCTTAAGGACAGGGACTGTTGTTGTTGTTGGGTTTTTTTTGCCTTTCTTGGTATCTCCAGCACTTAGCACAGTACCTGGTATGGAGTAGAAAGTGCTTAATAAATGCATGTTAACTGATATATAGATATTGATGTATATGCACATATATATGGATGTGCACAATTAATATGACTGACTTAGGTTTGATGTAAGAAAAAAAATTCCTCAGAATTAGAGCTAAACGAGTAGAATTAGTTCCTCCTCATTGGAGGTCTTCTAGTAGCGGCTGGATGACAACTTGTTGGGAATGTAGTATTGTTTTTCAGGCATAGACAGAACTGTAATTCCCATTTTATATATATACATAGGTATAAAATGCATGTGTGATCCTTATAATGTTATAGATCACAGCCTTCCATGGCTTCTCATCCTGTGTAATTCCTATCTGTGTCCACCTGTAAATTCTCAATATAGGATCTACCCAATCTGGAAGTACTACTGGAAGCCTTCATCTGTGTCTTTTAACATGTCATAGATAGTTGTGTAACATTCCATCCATTCTCCTGACTCTTTTTGGACACTATCTCCCAGGAATTAACCATTGGTCCTCTGTTGTTATTCTTTCACTTGTGTGCTTACCTCTTGCTTTCTGCAGTACCAGGACTATCATATCTGTTGGAGATGTTTTCTTTCTTCCTACTTTTTCAGTTTAAAGCCCTCTTAATAAGATTCACAAGACATTAGCCAAATGTTTTTTTAAACTAACTCTTATTATATGTGCTCCATTCCTTGTAAGGAGCTTCACAATCCTTAATCATATTTCCTGAGTTGATTCCACTGGCATAATTTATCTCCACATGAATCCCAGGGAGGAGATAGTTCTTCTCAGGTTTGAAAGTTCTTAGGCTGCTCTATATTACAGCCCAGATACACATCTTGGAAGATTATAAGTCTCAGCTGATGATGTAAACAAAAGTTGGCTTGAGATGCCTCATCAAGGAGTTACTGATCTACTCAGCAAGTAGAGCCACTACTCTACTCTCCTTCCTGTGGCTGTCCACATCTCTACTCTAGAGGTATTTCCCAAGGCAGCCTGTATCACTTTTGGATAGCTCTAACTGTTAGAACATTTTTTTCCTTATGTGGCATCCCCTCTGGGTTCACACTTCCAAGCCCATGCTTCTAAGAAGGTAGCTTACTAGTGTTAGTGTTTCCCCTTAGGATTCTAAGGGTTGGAAGTTGTGGTATGTGAATGTAATGGAATACTATTATGCTGTAAGAAATGATGAGCAGGCAGACTTCAAAAAAACTTGGAAAGACTTACATGAACTGATACAGAGTGAAATGGGCAAAACCAGGAAAACATTGTGTGCAGTAACAGCCACATTATGGAATGACTGACTTTGATAGACTTGACTCAACAATGCAAGGATCTAAGACAACTCCAAAAGATTCATGATGGAAATTGCTATCCACTGCCAGAGAAAGAAATATGCAATCTGAATGCAGATGAAAGCATACTATTTGCTTGCCTTTTCCTTTGTTGTTTTGTTTTATTGCTTCATTCTCGTGGTTCCTCCCATTAGTTCTAATTGTTCTTTACATCATTACTAATGGGAAAATATACTTAACATGAAGGTATATGTAGAGCCTATATCGGATTGTACACCGTCTCAGGGCAGTGGAGGAGAAGAAGCAGGAGGAGGAGAAAATTTAAAACTCTAAATCTTATAGAAGTGATTGCTGAAAACTAAAAATAAATAACTTTAATTTAATTTAATTTTTTAAAATTTAATTTAAAAAAAAGGATTCTAAGGGTTGGGAAATCTAGTACTAGTGCTGTTATTCATACCCTATCTGCTTTTCAATATCAGTATCGGTGGACTAGTTGATATCTCCCTAGTATCAATTAACAGTATCAGTTTACAAAGGAATATTTTCTGAGAAGGTATAATAAGGACAGAAGTTAATACAACATCCCTCGCCCTTCATTTATAAAATGATGGAGATGAACTAGAACACCTCTAAGGCTACTTCTAGCTCTAAATCTGTTACTTTGTGTCATGAAGATCAGTAAAAGCTATCTAACATAATATTTTGATGACTCTCAAGGGCCTAGACCCATGTAAAGCTATTATAGCCTTGCTCTGACCTCTGTGCTGAGGGTTGCTAAAAAGAAGGGTAGATAATAATGACTTTTTGCCTGAATTATGAGCAGTTTTTAACATATAATAAGACCCTTGTTACAGCTTATGTTGGGTGTTTATAAGTAGTAGCTTTCAGGATAATCCTTTCTTAAAATAATTACTAATACATCATTTATTTTTTTGCTGGTTCTGGGCATAGGACTGCTCTGATGGCTACATGAGCAAAACACATTTCCAGACTAGAAACAGGACTTCTGTGACTGAACAGCTCTTTCCTCAAGCTGAGGTGAGTACTTTAAAATATCTTTTTTTTCTTTAGTTGAGAGGAAAGGAGGAGTCAGTTCAGTGACAGTTCTGCAACTTATAGTCTTAGGGAGTTGTCTAGGGCACTGATCTAGACTTATACTGCTAGTATATGCACATACACACACACACACACACACACACACAAGTATTTCCTCTCTGTGGATATGTGTACCAGTGCTGACCACAGTTTCTCAAATAATAGATGGCTTAATGAGTTTCTAGGGTAAAAAAAACTTAGTGGCCATTAGTAGTCATTAGGGGATGACATTTTCCAAAATTTAACTAGGTTGGTCCTTGGCTGTCAAATGTACAGTCCATCACTGGTCTCAGATAGGAGGTCTTATCAGCTTGGTAGAATATGTCATACCTTGCTCTCTCTTGGCCTAGCCTTCAGAACTGAGAATAACTTCTGTGCCATCATGAAGCATCAGAGTAGGACTTCAGCATGGGAGCTTTGGTTTATAGAATTATAAAAATAAATTAAAAAAACTAAATTAAATTAGAGAGATTTAATTTATTTAAAATCTATTTAGCATCTGGTACATCCTGAAAGTAAAGATACTGGAACAAATTTATCTTCTGGTACATTTTTAATCAGAGAAACAAGTGGTTGGATATTTGCTAGTTATGCATTTTCTATCTTATTCAAACCAAGGATTTTGTTGAAACCAAGAACTTCTCTGAACACATACAGGTTTTTAACTACAATATTCCATGTTTGAATATTGTTTTGGGGTTCGTTTATTCCTGAAGATAGTATACTGCTGCTGGGCTTGGCCCTGTTCAAAGTCCCAGCATCTGACAGTGCCAGGCAAGACTGAAGGTGGGGGGCAAGGAAAGGGGTGCATTATGTGGATGGGAACTTGCCCTCTTCGGCCCACAGCTCCTACTGTGCTATTAGATGTACAATAAATATGGCACTTAGATATGTTTGGGATGTTGAGTGAACAGTTGCTTATCTGCACTGAAGAGGGAATATCTATATATGGGAAGCCAGAAATAATCAAGTTCTTAATTACATAATACAGACTTAGGGAAGAACGAATTCCATTTGGGCCTTCATTCTACTTGTCCCTACAGGGCAAGCCTTGGAGCATGGAGCACAGATAAAATGGTAGAGAGGGGCTTCCTGCTTAGTTCGTGTTAGACTAGATGCTTTTTGAGGTTCCTTGCAGTTATGAGTCAGTGGTTCTAATGGAGCGCATTTCAGTTGCCCTGGAGAGCTGATGGGGGAGAGATTTTTGAGGAGGAGGGCCTTCTCTTAGAGTTCTTTGAATCTTTTCAGGTTACATTCATGTGCCATAATGCAGAATGAGATGTTTTTGAACATTGCCAATGTGGGAATTTGTTTTGCTTGACTATGCATATTTGTTACAAAGGTTTTCTTTTTCTTCTCCTTTTTTTCCCCTAACAGGGCAAGGGGAAGTGGGAGGGAGAGAAAATAAATGCTTGTTTATTGAAAAATAAATTGGAAAGTTCAATAAAATAAACCACACCAGTTTGTCAATGAAATAAGTAGCCTACTCTGGCTATGTTTAAGCTGACTGTGATATTTCTGTTGAAACTTTATATTTACTTATGTAAATTCAATATAAAAGAAACTTTATTTCCTTTTGGATATTTTGCAAACTATTATAATAAGTTGCCACCAGGTGAGTGGTGGTGCCTTATAGTCCAAATATAATATTCAGGTTTTAGTCAGTGAAGCAAATGGGTTGGGACATTTTTTTTTGCTCATTATATATTTTAAAAATGAAAGTGATAAGTCCTTACTAAAGCAATAAATAATAATGATGTTGATAACATATATGTGGTACTTCAAGGTTTGCAAAGCACTTTAAATATATTGTCATTAGATCCTCACAACAACCCTGTGAGGGAGATATAGTAGGTATTTTACTGGTTTTACTAACAAGGAAATTCATTCTTAGAGTTTTTTAAAGAGCTTTAGATTTTCAAGATCACACAGCTAGAAAGTATTTCAAGTAGTATTCAAACTCAGCAAAACACAATAATGTGGTTTCAGAGAGAGAAACACATAGATACTTTTCCTCACTTGCTTAGTTCAATATTGAAATGTCTAGGCTTATCTGTCCTTGGCTTTATGATTTCACTTGAAGATACTTTTCATTCCTGTAATTTCATAGTAGTCATAGCTAAATATTGCACTTCTCAACTGGCTGAGGATTGGCAAAGGGGGGAGTGAGGGGGCAAAAGTTAAACCATCTCCTTTCTAGCATTACTTTTTTTTTTTTTACACTTCTCTGTCTCTCCCCATATATATGGGAAATGGAGAGTGATTAATGACATTATGATTGTCTTTTCCTATCAGAAAAAAAGTTTCTTGATGTTTTACTCTTTTTTTGAGACCCTGTTTGCACTCCTCATCAGGTATTTGCTTTTCTTCTGCATGCTATGTCTCATCTCTTCAGGTAGGACTCACCTTAGCAACTGGGAGCCATCTCCAGTCATCCTGATCTATATCTTGCCACTGGACCCAGATTGCTCTGGAGGAGAAAGTGAGTCTGGTGACTTTGTACAGCTCTTCCTCACTTAAATCCAGTTCACTTGCATGTCATGGCATCATCTTCCTGATGTCATAGTCTTCTTTGAGAATGAAGGACAAACAACAACAACAACTTTAGCAACCAGCTCACACATGAGATCAGATACATTGGCTTCCTAATGTAGACTGTTTTTTAAAAGTTAAAAATTTTTAAAAGTTTAGTTCAATTTTATTTTCAGTTTTGAATTCTATCCCTTCTCCTCCCCTGCACATTGAGAAGCCAAGAAAAACAAAACCTATTACAAATATGTGTAGTCAATTGAAACAAATTTCCACATTTATCATGTCCAAAAGAAAGGAAAGAGAAGTAAATATACTTTAATCTGCATTCTGAATCCATCAGTTCTCCATCTAGAGGTGGATATCATGTTTTATCATGAATCCTTTGATATTATGGTTAGTCATTATGTTGATCAGAGTTACTTAGTCTTTAAAAGTTGTTTTTTTTAGTATTGCTGTTACTATATAAATTATTCTCTTGGTTCTGCTCATTTTGGTTTGCATCAATTCATACAAGTCTTCCCAGAATTTTCTAGAACCATCCCCTTCATCATTTCTTATAGCATAATAGTATTTCATATAAGATAATTTGTTCTCAACATCAATTCCCCAATTAATGGACATACTCTCAGTTTCTAATTCTTTGCCACTAAAAAAAGAGAGGTTATGAACATTTACGTGTATGTGTGTGTGTGTGTGTGTGTGTGTGTGTGTGTGTGTGTGTGTGTATAGGTCCTTTTCCTGATATTTATTTCTTTGGGATATAGGCCTAAGTGATATCAGTGAATTAAAAGGTTTCTATAGTTTAGTGACTTCTGGGGCATAATTCCAGATTGCCGTCTAGAATAGCTAGACCAATTTACAGTCACACACAATGCATTAAGGTGCCTGTTGTCCCTAAGGCCCTCCAGCAATTGTCATTTTCCTTTTTTGTTATCTTGGCTAGTCTAATAGGTGTGTAGTAGATATAATTTGCATTTCTCTTGATATTAGTAATTTAGAGTATTTTTTCATATGGCTATTGATTAATATCCTTTGACCATTTATCAATTGAGGAATGGCTCTTATTATTGTAAATTTGACTCAGTTCCCTATATATCTTAGGAATGAGACCTTTGTCAGAAAAACTTTCAGCAAAAATTCCTCCCCCCCACCAGTCTCCTGCTTTTCTTCTGATTTTAGCTACCTTGGTTTTGTTTGTGCAGAACATTTTTAATTTTATGTAATTAAAATTATGCATTTTACCTCCTGTGAATCTCGTGTTTAGTCATGAACTTTTCCCCTATTCATAGATCTGACAGGTAATTTCTTTTTTGCTTCACTAATGTGCTTATGATGTCACTCTTTATGTCTAAATCATGTACTCATTTTGAACTTATTTTGGCATATGGTGTGAGATGTTGGTTTGTATCTAGTTTCTGTGAGATTATTTTCCAATTTTCCCAGTCGTTTTTGTTGGATAGTGAGTTCTTGCCTCAGTAGCTGGAATCTTTATCAAACATTAGATTACTGTGCTTATTTGCTTCTGTATAGTGTGTACTTAATTTGTTCCATGAATCTACCTCTCTGTTTCTTATCACTACCAAATTGTCTTGATAATTTAACTTTGTAATATAGTTTAAGATCTCATACTGTTAGAGTCCCTTCCTTTTCATTTTTTTATTGATTCTTGATATTCTTGATCTTTTATTCCTCCACATAAATCTTACGATTTTTTTTCTAACTCTATGAAGTAGTTCTTTGTTAGTTTGATTGAAATGGCACTGAATAAGTAAGGCAGTATTGTCATTTTTATTATGTAGGCTTGACCCATCCATGAGCAATTAATATTTCTCCAATTATTTAAATGTCTTTATTTGTGTGAAAAGAGTATTGTAATTGTGGTTGTATAGTTCCTATGTATGTCTAACCGGATAGGCTCCCAAGTACTTTATACTGTCTTATAGTTCTTTTAAATGGATTTTCTCTTTCTGTCTCTTCCTTCTGGATTTTTTTTTGTATTATACAGAAATACTGATGATTTGTGTGGATTTGTTTCATATCCTGCAAATTTGCTAAAGATAATTGTTTTCTTCATTTTTAAGATTGAATTAGCCAGTGGCTTTTCTATTTCATTGTTTTGGATTTTTCTCTCCAATAACCAGCTTTTAATTTTACTTATAAGTTAAGCGGAATTTTTACTTTCAATTTTGTTAATCTCTCTTTTGATTTTCAGGATTTCTGTATAGACTGTTTTAAGAAGATAGTTTCTTAGAACTATTTTTCAGAAGACATTGTTACTGTATCAGGACAAAACTTTTTTTAAAAAATTAAGAGAAAACTTAACAGGGTTTTAAGGCAAGGATTTTAAAGTAGTTTCATGATACAAGCCCTAAAGAAAAGTGGCACCTAGTATTATATACTGGTGCAATTAA